GAAATACACTGTGGCGCAGCAACTACTTTTACAGCCCGGGGCGGTGACAAAACTTTCGCCCTGACTGAGGGCAGAATAGGTACGTGAAGTCCACACCATCGGCTCGGTGTAAAGTGCATATTAGTTTTATCTGAAATTTATAATCCTTTGGGACATTGAGGTAAATGCGGTAACAGTGAACATAATGGGGCAAATAAGGGAATCGCTGAGCAGAAAGTTTGCACTGGGGTAAAACATGACGCAAAGTTCTTGTTGGTCATATAGAGTAACTTGAACAATGCGGTCAAGAGACGAAAGCTGGTATCTGCATGCATTTCGTATTCTCTCCACAGTAACATTAACAGTAACCTATATGATGCTATATAAATAAATATGGGCGTGACCAAGCACGCTTGAGGTGCAAAATGAATGGTAGAAGTTCCCCCTCATGTCCACGGTAGCCTCAAGCTCACAAATAATTGTTGTTGAACAAACTGGACTGGCTTCATATAGAGTAACATTAAGATATTCAACCCTTAGCTTCGCTGAAAATTTACTCTCTATATTTGGTATCGAACAATCAATGGTGCCAAAAATGCTACACCCTGTTACAAGCAATCCGCACCTGTTGTTACGCCTCTGGAAATACGGTAACTTCAGAGAGCGGCAATTTCTGGGCGATGAATGCCAGAGACAGTTTCATGTCCTCACCATCGGTGTGAAGTCGGCGATTAACATCATGCTAGAAAGCTTCAACGAGTTATGGCGATGACGATTGCACACACACACACTGCGCGGTATTCCTTCTCGAGTTTGCGTCAACACCCTGAGCTTGACATTGTCTTCAATGCAAAGATTCAGCGAACCCTACCAGATTGTCGGCTTAGTGAAATCCCATCCACTAACTTACATGAAGCAATAGATCTAGGGTGTCTGATACCTGGCAAACGAAATGAAGACGCTCTGGAGAGACCCTCGTGGGAAAGTGAGATGATGATAAGTTGGAAGAAGGGATACAACATTGTTCGGCAGTTAACGAATGTCCATAAAAAGTCGGTAGTTTTTATCCAGCAACATCTTGCAGATAGAATACAAGCAGTCGACCGAAAATGTGCCACACCACGACGGTCTGTATTGCCTTTTACATGGCTATGTGGCAATCAGCATATGTCGACCACAATTATGCAAAATTGGAGCACTTGGTCCTAATTCGGAAATCAAAAGCTGGCGTAACTGCGATATCAGGGTGTACAAATAAGCCCGTGTTGCTTCTTCAAGATGAAGACGAATAGCCAAACATGCGTAGAACCGCGATATCGGGTGCATGAGGCAATCATATTCCTTTTATCTTAAGTGGGAGTGTTTTGCTAGTTGCAATAGACTTACTGTTTCTGACTCTGTACTAGAGAGTAGCGTACCCGACGATTGAGGAGAAACGTAAGTGAAGAAAAATGTTTATTGGTGGGTGTGCAATACTCTTGTGTATTATCTCCGTTACGACGCTTGCTAGCTAGCAAAGCATTTTTGGTTACCGCGCAATGGGGAGATGTGGTGAACTAAACCATGGCGCTATGTGAGTGCATGTGATGCTCACGGTTTAGCTAAACAGACACAACATTCAGCATTCTTCATCGAACATCATCATCGTACGATAAGATGATAAGTTTATTTAGTACTTTGCACGACATCCAAACAAACTGAAGGAATCTCCGGACCACTACGTCTTTCCGATTTGAAACTGAAACTTGTAGGCCGGTTGGTTAGGATAACGGTGAATACCGGCGCCTCAGTTACCATAATCCTTGCTGCATCCGTTAGAAGAATACCCCTGTCAGTTAATTCGCGCACGTACACCGGGCAACCGATACCGGTCTTTAAAAGTGCATGGTTCACGTTAATTATCGTAGGGAGAAACGGACTTTATTGGCATGCTTTTTGACTTTTGAGTGCCCAGAATTGCTCGGGCGAGGCTGTCTTAAATCCCTGCAGGCTAAGCTAGACACAATGAAGTTTATGTCCATCAATCAGCGCTTGGTGGATGTGCTCAACAAATATTCCGACTTTTTGACGATAAACTGTCTAAACTAAACGGATTTTAGTCCGATAGCAGATTATAGCCAGGAACTCAGTCCTGCTTCTTCATAGCACGTATCCTAGCATATTCCCTAAAGTCCAAATTGGTTGACGGGGTAAAGAGATTACAATTGGCGGGAACAACCAAGCCAGTCCAATAAAGTGATTGAAGAACTCGAACGTTTCGCGTTTTGAAGTCGGATGGATATTTACGTATTTGTGATAACTATGAACTAACTGTGAATCGTGTTTGAATTATGGATAACTATCCCATACCTCGGACAGAGGATCTGTACGCTGCGCAAGCAGTCGGACGAAAACTCACGCAAATCGACCGCAGTCACAAGTGTTTAAAAATTGAGTTGGACAAGACCTCCCGCTAATTTGGTAGGATAAATGCCCATATGGGTCGACTTCAATACAAATCGTTGCCATTCGGAATTAGTTGGCCACAGCGATATTTCAGATGGTTAATAATAAACAGCTAAAGTATATATCTTCACTTTGTCTATCTTGACGTCTTGTCTACAGTTTGCACCATGCTCGTACGTCTATAACTGTGTGGGAAAATACTGATGAGGTCAAAACGTACACTTTCACTGAATCCCGTTCGTTACCTGGGTCATCGAATTGACAAAAATGAATTACACGTATTAGGAAACAAATTCAAACCCAATCTTGTCGCACCTAAACCCAAGACTGAGTCTGATCTACAACTATTTTTGTGATGTCTTCTTATTACCTTTGCTTACTTCTTAATGCCTCAACAGAATTCGCGCATTTGTAAGAACTACTACGTAAGGATAAAATCCGAGATATGAAGTCCAGATCATAAAAGGGCTTTCTTAAATGTAAAGGGAGCGACCGGTGCTTCCCTGTTCCTTGTGCATTTATACCCGAGCCAGGCTCTAATGCTGCAGTGTGATGCGTCCGCACGCGGAGTAGACGCAATCTGTTGCCACCGGACAGATGATGGTTCCTTTCATTCCTTCGCTTCTCCCACGTTGCTTACCGCTGAAACGAATTACCCCCAAGTGGACAGAGACGCACTAGCGATTATATTCGGGGCTAAGCGTTTTCACTAGTATGTCTGTGGAAGACAGCCCGATATCTCCAAGGACCATAATCCATTTGTTTTGTTATTAGAAGAAAAAAGAAGTCAACTGATATCTTCTTCTCGGATGCAAAGATCAGCGCTACTTTTGGACACCTAGAACTACAAACCGTAATATGAAAGTGGATTTAGTATCACTATTGCCAATGCACTATGTCGCTTCCCATAGCAACCTGGCACAACAACGAAAAGCGGACCATTAGAGTTTATCCATCTGAAGCAATACCTTGAAAGGACACCTATTCAGATTGCCTTGATGCGGCTCCTGAGGAACCGGGACCTTGTGCTATTTATGGCGGAGCGGTTCTTGGTGACCCGTTGACCTACAAGCACATCAACCAACTGAAGCCATTCGCTTAGGCGAAAATCGCATTAAGTCTATGCGACGGCTGTATATTCCAAGGTGCGCATAATCCCACCGGCCGAAAATTGGTTAAGAGGTGGAAGGGATCCTGAAATTTTTCTATGTCAGAGCTACCAAAGACAAAAATCGCCCGACCAATATACCAATAGCAGTTGCTGGATAGGTACTGGCAGCGGGTGCGTTGGGACTGATCTATCCCGATCAGTGGAATAATATGTCTACTTTTGATTGATGCTTACTCTAAATGGTTACAACTACATCCGGTTTCACATGTAGCTTCCGCAAAAATAGTTGTAAAAATGCGCTCCATATTCACCATCTTCGGTATCCCAGAGGCATTATGCACCGACAACGGGACGCCGTTTATTAGTGAGGAATTTAAACCATTCTTGAGCAGTAATGGAATACAGCACATTAAGTCCCACATGGAATGGGCTTACATAGCGCGCAGTTCAGACTATTAAGCAAAGGCTCCTCAAGCAGACCCATGGAACCATGCAAACAGAGTTGGAACGGCTCCTTTTCTGCTATCGCACGACGCCGACCGATTGGACAGGGAACTCACCGGTGGAGTTCATGTTTAACCGGCCACTGCGGACGTGATTGCACCTGATTTTCCTAACTTCATAAAGAAACATGAAGATGCAACAGAAGAAGACGAGTGGTGGTAACAAGATGACAGAAAAAAACGCGATGTAGTGATTCTGATCCATTGCCACACGTAACAAGCTGGCAAGCCGCTATACTTCTGTAGTCAACGAGCAACCAAGCATTGCTACACCTGGAAGACAGCGACGTGGTGCGCTGCCACTCTGATCATGCACGACCACGTTCAATCGTAGCGCGTGAGCTGGGTCGCCAATGCACCGCTACTGACATAATCAGAGGGAATTGGTCGCACAAACCATAAAGCTGTAAACCGATGCGGAACTATCTCAATTGAGGCGATCCAAACGGACGCTCAAGCCAGTTGCTCGGCAACAATTTGGAGTCCACAGTCTTTACCAGGGAAGATAGAGCAGTCGCGGTGCACTCCAGCATCAGTCATGAACAAAGCTGCTCATTTGACTGATTGACATTGATCTAGTTTGCCTTCCTTATTTCATGGACTCTTAGTTTCGGTACTTTCAGTCGCTGCAAAGGTAGGCGTCCTCGTCAAACGTTTACACGCTACGCCTGAGCGTTCGGTTTCGTCCATCGGCCTACTGGTTACAGTTAACAAGCTGCATAAGTGGACTCAAGACCAGACAGTTAAGCGATCTGTACAATGTGCCTGCTTCGAAAGCAAGTCTTACGCTAAGCTTGAAAAGATCTACAAATTTAGACATTTGCTTTGTGCTGTATTTACACGTTTGTGCTTGTTAACCGAATTAAGGATCTGTAGTGGAAAGGACTACACACAACTGGTTCAACACGTAAATGTTTGTGACCAGTTAAACACTAAAATTCTCTACTTTTTCCTCTTTCCCAGTTCATGATTTCCAGCTTGTCCTTCGCAACCTTCGCAGTGTCGCCTGACAAGGCCGAGCTCCGCCTACGACTGTCTTTCACTTTAATTTTGACGAGCGTTACTTTCAAATATGTTATAACTCAAAGCCTGCCCAAGATATCATATCTGACCTATATGGTAAGTATTGGTTTTACCATTAGCATTAATTTTTCTTTCCTATAAACAAACCCATGGAAATGTCTCGGCATCACTTATTCGGAATCTCAGTAGGCCATGCTATCAATCAACTCACAACTAACCGCTAACCAGGTGATTATAATTCCCACTCATTTCATGACCCATACATCACTTTGAGACCAAAGATGACGTTACCGTTACCAAGTTTTGTTTGCATATCATTACGCGTTTGAACTGCTGTGAAAAATTCCAAAATGCATACCTTCAACATCTCGCATATAAAACAAAGACTTCCTTCATCACACAACGCATATGATTAGCTGCTACGTTCAGTTGAATGGGATGTGCCCCATATAATAGGTCAACTAAGGGAAAGTAAAGTTTTGGTTGGACCACTTATCCAAAAGTTATCGGGATAACTTATCAGACCGAGTTACTATGAGCAGCAGACAAAGGACATCTTACCTAACCATTGTAGGTAAGGACTAAGTTAAAGATAACACAAGCGTTTAAGCATTCAATGACGAAAGGAAGAAGTATGCATCAGTACTAAAGGTCTGATGTACAGCCTATTGGGACTTATCGAAATGGTATTCACTACAACAAGGGGGACAAAATACTTCTTCTTTGAAAACCATGTTCAAGGAAAGAACACCAAGTATGCCACCACATCAAGTAACCCGTTCAAGATAATCTGTCAAGCTCCTATTAACTGAGTGAATTATGTCTGTAGCTAGATACTAGAAGACGTTAAGAAAATTTCAATCCGGCTGTGTGAATCGTTCTACTTTCGGAAAATAATCAGCCTAGTGTTGAGATTACCTTAACCCAAACCGCTGGTGGACTCAGAACCGTGGGGTCATTTGCTGGCGATTGACATAACCTAAATGGCAGCGACTGCTAGAGTCCAATTAACTTGATGGCTTGGTGACGACTTGTAGTGTCTGTCCGCACATACCTATTTGCATCTAATTGCATAATCCTAAAGAAGCATTGTTAAAATACATTGTAACTAGAAAGAAGACGCAAAAAAGCACAAGCGCGACCACTGTTTCCACAAGCTGCGCGCACGTGTGTATTTATCGACCATGTTTCCGTCCCACAACACAACATACGTGAGGAATCACAACATGTCACGTATGTGCCTCGTCCGCCAGAATATTTCATGACCCCAGCTGCCTGTCTGACCCAGTAGCTTTGCCTTCGTAGCTCGCATGCTGACCAACCTGGAGTTGTTCTAAAGCTCTTGATTTGCTTGGTCTCGGTTGCATTATTCCGCTTCGGGTTACTCCAGGGTGCACCGAAAAAGTTGTTTCTGTCTGATTTATTGACCTATCGACACACCCGTTTTCTGTATACTTTGACTCAGGCATGTTCCCCTTTGTTGCTCACGTTCCAATCTTTGGAAAATCTAAGCACCAAAATAGCTTCGGTTAGAGAAATCGTAGTAGGAAGTATGACCCGTGTTTGGCCACTAAACTCCACTGAAAGTCAAATCCACAACACTGGACGTTATCCTAACAAGGTTACACATACAAACGTAGTAAGCAACCACCTCGCCATTATTTCAGACCGTCTAGCTGCTTCCAAACTCTTCGGTTCCACAGTCCATTTGTAACAATATCGCCTGCGTCAATTTCTTGTCACCGGGCTTCGCTGAGAGTTATGAACCAAGTCAATACCAGTGGCAGCTGGGTTGTAGCTGCATTCAAGTACACTCCGAAATAAACGTCTGCAGTTTTTGTTGCCACACTAGGATTAATAAGAAAGGTCGATATTACCTTTCTGCGAGGCAAATCGCCCGTTTAGCGGGAGCCCGGAGAGGGATTCCAGTAGACAGACCGACTTTCAGGGAAACTTATTGGCACAGCAACGCTTCAGTGTTTTCTTACCTATAATTAAAAGACACACTTGAACACTTGTAGCTATGGAAACGCAGAATGCACAACGCACAGGGCCGTGGCGTGTTGCAACCGAAAATAGCGCCGAGCAAAATAGCGATGCGCAACTCAAGCAATCGAACTTAGCAACCAGTTCAACCATCCGCATCGATCGCCTAGATGTACCATAACATAGTAATATTAGTTAGCATTTTACACAGGCAATGCAAGGAATCTTCAGACTGCTACATACCCCTTCCCCAAATGGGACTATGTAAGCAGTCCTTCGATCTACTTGAGGACTGTCCGTCGCTGACCAGCCTACTGCGAGAAGAGGCTGTTGGGGCTGCTGCGGGAGAACCATTCAATCGAACTCTAGCGCGCTCCTATCCTTGTCCTCCCTACGGTGTCGAAACGGGAAAGTGTTTCTGGGGAGACAGTTAGTAAAGCCCTCATAGCTGGTTGTGCAGGAAGTTCGTTGCACTTTTATTTGAGGTGCAAGGATCCAGCGAAGCGTGGAAACAAGGAGGAACCAACTGACGATGTGTGTCTTGAAAGCAAAATGAAAAAGAACAGCGTAAATGCACAGCCATACACAAATGCGTGCAAAGCTGTTTTTGTGTTTGCAAAGCGATTTTTCATTAGTTTCCAAACTTTTAGGCTTTATTCTGTAGGTTTTGAAAAGTGTTTGTGTGAGCAAAAATATGCGAGGAATGCTCTATGGAAAGTACCGAACGATAACGAAATCGAAAAAGCGTACTAGGGTTTTTCTTTCCTACCACGTCGGTTGATATTCGGTCGTGAAGTAGCGAGGTCGGTTGAGGCTGTCGGTTCCGCTGGAGCGGAGTGACTGGTCTGGGGTTGTGGTGCTGGCCGTGATAGTGCAGGCTGTGAAAGCGTTTGCTGCCCCCAAGAGTCAGAAGCGTCAAGGAAAGCGGGAATGAGTCGGTCGATGTTAATCGTCTCTGTTTTACCATTATAGTCAATAGTAAATGTCTCGTCGTTTCTACGTAAGACAAGGTACGGACCAGAATAAGGAGATTGGAGTGGCTGGCGTACGCTGTCGGTGCGAACGAATACGTGCGTGCTAGTGGTTACGCGTTCGTCCACGTTTGTGCAGACTCTCTATGCTATGGATTGCACAGGCTGAATTTGTCTCGTGTGATGAGGTAGGCGAGCTGCGTAAGCTCCATAGTCCCACGTTGTTGCTGCCTTTGGTGAGACAAGTTTACCAGGTAAGTCTTGTGTATTTCCAAAGCTAGCGGCCATGGGCTGGCGTGCAGATCCGCTTTAGTTGTGTTCCTTATTCATAAGAGAACGATCCAAAGTGCTTCATGCTAGAATGTACTAGATTGGGAACAGAGTGATGCCTTGAGTTGCCGATGGTACCTTTCTAGTATCCCATTAGCTGCGTGATGATATGTGGTGGTTCAGTTGTGCTGGGAACCAAATACGTTGAGGAGTTTGCTGAAGGATCCCTCAAAGTATTGTCCTCTATCGGTAATCACAACGGTTGGGCAAACGAACTGAGCCACCCAGGGTACTAGAAAAGCATGTGTAACTGTCTCAGAAGATGAGTTGGTTTCCGGGATCGCCTCTGGCCAACGTGTGAATCGGTCGACACAGATGTGTAAGTACACGTATCCTTTGCATGGTGGCAAAGGTCCGACGAGGTCGACATGAACGTGCGCGAAACGAGAGTAAGGAGCTGGAATGACGTCAAGTGGGCTTTTGGTGTGTTTGTACACTTTGGCGCACTGACACACTAAGCACGCGCTTGCCCGAAGGCGGACATCGCGGTTGAGATTGGGCCATATGAAGCCGTTGCTAACGAGCATCTGTGAAGCACGTATGCCAGGATGCGATGGGTTGTGTAGGGCGTTTAAAACTAGTGGGCGCATTGTCGTAGGAACTACCGGACGGGGAGGAATTTGTGAGACGTCACAAAGAATGGTCCCCTCAGATGAAGCTAGTGGAACCTCGCGTAGTTTCAAAGAGGCGCTTCGTCGAAGCCTGTCTATGTCGGGATCAGCTTGTTGGACAGTAGTCATGGGGGCTAGGTTGATGTTGGTGTCAGGTGATAAGTTGATCTGATGGATGCACGATAGAGTGTCCGCGACGGGATTGAGAGCACCAGAGACATGGCATACGTCTGCGTAAGCTGAGCAACGTAGTCTAAGCGTCTGATTTTCGGCGGGGAATACTTGTTTGTTTCATCGTTGATTGCGTAGTTCATTGGTCTGTGATTAGTGAAGACTGTGAAATGTCCGCCTTCGAGGTAGTGACGGGAGTGTCGGACACCAAAATAGATCGTTGGTAGTTGCCTACCGAGAGTGCTGTAACGCAATTTGGCAGGCTGCAGATGTTTCGGGAAGAAACCTAGAGGTGTCCATCGACAGTCGGTGAGTTGTTGAAGAACTGCACTGACGGTGGGTCTGATGCGTCAGTCGTTAGAGAAAGGGTCGCTGTTGGGGCTGGGTGCCTGAGCAACGCTATGCTAGAGATAGCCTCTTTGAGCTACTCGAAAGACAGCCTAGCCTCATCTGAAAAGTGAAAAGAGCGTTAATTACCGCGGAGCAAGTCAGTCATTGGTTACATTATGCTCGCGCATTATGCTCGGCGTAGCTGTTTGAAGGAATTAGGAGCAGCATGGTCCTTCTGTGACCGGATTTTGTCTTGCAGGGCTTCAATGCCAGAGGCGGATATTCTGTACCCAAGAAAAACGATGGAGCTTTGGCCAGTATCGCATTTGTCGGGGTTGACCGTAACCCCCTGTAGCGTCTGTCGTAGAAATAGAGCACCCATGTGATAACAATTATCATCGCCGGCAGAGCTGCAGATGGAAAATGTCATCTAGATAAGAATAAACGCCTTCGAGTCCTAACATTACCTCATGGGTGACACGCTGAGATGTTTGAGCAACGTCGCTGAATCCGTAAGCCATTCGGAGGTACTCGAATAGGTCAAACGGCGTGATGACTTCTTTTTTAGCCATATCGTCTGGCACCGCAGGTTCTTGGTGGTAAGCGCGGACCAGGTCGATTTTGCTAAAGATCGACCAACTAGCTAACGCTAACGTTAAGTTGTGCATGTGAGGAATGAGGTATTTATGCGGGACGG